TCTCACCAACAGAACTTGGTCCCATAAAAGATATTACCTCACCCACCTTCTCTTAGTGAAAGATTAACACCTTTAATCAGACTGCAGCTCATCTGATCATCACACTGAATTCTCCACCTCCTTCTGCTCAGACAGTTATACCAACAGCAGCTGGGTGATGCTTCTGGTCCCATTTCCACGTGGCAGTCAAGTCACTGGGACAGCAAATCTGGCTTGTGTGATCCATGGAGTGTCCAGCCCAGTCCATGTTTCCTGGAGTGTTTCTGGGGAGCTGCAGGAACAGGGGCTGACGCGCTCATTGAAAGCAAAGGATGGATCTTTAACACTCATAAATCACATCAGCGTCCCCATGGACACCTGGACCAGTGGGAAGGATTTCACCTGTGAAGTCAAATTCAACTCTTCTGGTACCAGTGTAAAGAAAAGTACCAGGTATCCTGCAGGTGAGTGATATGATATTTGAGGTTAAGGGAGACTCAGATGTGAAATGGGGGTGAAGTAGCCACAGTCAGAGCTGCTTCTACGTAACTTTCCATCACAGAAAGCGGAATTATTCTATGTCTTAGTTAGAATTTCTCTAGAGAATTTGGAGAAAGGTGAATTGAGACATTACAGGGACCACAAGACAATGTAGCTCTGATCTCTAAGGCAGCTTTCACCCAGATTGTACGTATGAATCCCTGTAAAGAGCTAAATAATAATAAATACCAGGAGTAAAGGGGAATTGAGAGGCATTTGAGATAAGAGATGTTTTCCAATGAGATATGCAACGTGATGGAGAGACGATGAGGTGAGGAGAGACCTACAGGGAGGATTTTGTAGATGGCAGAAGGTCCAGAGAAGATTCTGATTACAGGGGAAGGCATTGGCCTAATGCCACGGGCACAACAGAGGGAGAAAAGTGCTGAAGGCTCCTGTAGCCTCACTCATTGGGCGTTAACGCCTGGGGTGAAATGGGGATTAGGAGAGACGAGCTGGATGTGGTGGCATCACGACCCTCTTTACTGGAGTCAGCCACTTACGTGTGTCTTTTTTTTTTTCTTGCTTCCTCCACAGCCCCTGACAGCGAGTGCTCACATTACATTGTGCCCCTTGCGGCTGGTGCTGGTCTGCTGCTGCTGTTGGTGTCTCTGAGCCTCGTATGGACCCTCTGCCCTTCCACGCTAGGTAAGAAACACAGCCCAGCCCAGAAACACTTATGCAGAGAGAAATCCTACTCCCCTGCTTGTAACTGTCCCATCCCACACATGAACATGCTGCAAATGTCACGACTGCCAGGACTGATTACAGAATGTTTGTTTTCTGAATCTTGAATTTCCTGTGTCGGGAGAACGGCTTTGTTCTCAGTGACAAAGGAAGCGATGTAGAAAGTCTTCTACTGCCCATGGCCCAGGCACCCTGTGTATAGTTCACAAAGAGCACTAGCCTTTCTGACGAGCCCCTCTCCCTTAGCCGTGCATGGTGGTGCCCTGCGCACCCACAGCTCGGATGCACCATTAGTCAATGAACTGAAGCTGAAGGAGTGACCGTGGAAGAGGAACTTTTACTGTTGTCTTTGTTCATTCCAGGAGTCCAGCCCAGGGTCTCAGCACCCCCAGCTTCACAGGAGAACCAGGTACTGCTCTTTGGAAACTGACTCTGTGTAAATCACTGTGTTTGTCTCAGGCTTTTCTAATCCATCCAGCAACTTTATATATTTGGCACTTAAACTGATTGTTTTGAAAGGAGAAGGTGAAAGTGAGATCTAGCTGTTGGAGTAGCTGAAAGGGAGCAAAGAGCCTTCCTGCTAACTCTGGTACCAATTTAGTGTAGGATAGCAGGCAAGCCACATAGTGCTCTGTGACTCAGTTTCCCCATGTGTAAAAAGTGGATAACTAGACTTACTGCTCAAGGATGATGGGAAGTTTGATGTTTTATTAGTTCTGACTGTGCCCTTTACAGGATTTTTATGCAGCTGGGAACATTTTTTGGCACTTATAAGATAAAGAGCTAAAAGAAATGATATTTGTAAAGCACATGAAGATTTTCCAGTGACAGGTTCTGTGGGCCTGAGCCAAAGCTCCCTGACCTCAATAGGAGACTGTCCATTTATACCGGGTTTGGATCTAGCAAAATATAATGAGCAGGTGAGCTCTTAAAATCAGAATCCAGCACTGGTTTCCATTCGGATAACACGCACCATTTATAGGACAAGTAGGAGAATCAGAGATGAGGGAATTTTTCATTAGGCTAAACTCAGTTGGATGTTCGGTTCTCTCTCACCTGTGTCCCTTCATTTTACAAGGAGGTGGCTAATTTTACTAATTGTCGCCAAACAGGGTGGGATCTTATATGCTCATCTGGATTTTGATTCACGGAATCGCAACGGGCGCATGATGCAGCGACCGGCCAGAGGGAAACATCTAAAACCCTGAACTGTCTCGTGCAGGGGAATCCACATGTGGGAACTGATGTCTGGTTCTCTGCTGATCGGACATAGCAGCTGGAAGAAGACTCTGTCTGTCACCTTTTTTATTTATTTTCTCCCCTTTTCTGTTTGCAATATAAAGGTCAGAAGATCCCCACAGGGTTCAACCTCATAAGATGGGAAATCTCCTTTTGGGATATAAAGGCATCACGGTGTAGATAATACACTTGTGTACTAGATTGGAAGCTCTTTGGGGCAGGGACTGTCTCTTTGTTCTGTGTTGGTGCAGCATCTAGCACAGAGGGGCTCTGATCCATAATCGGGAGTCCTGGGTGCTATGGTAACACCATCATCATCATCCTCTCAACTTCAGAGGGACCCGGACACAGCTGAACACCTGCAGCTTCCCTGCCCAGAGTGAGGCCGGATGGCAGGAACCTGCAGAGGGGACGTGCAGCCCCTGTATATGCCACAGCTCCCCTGATCCTCAGCAGGCTCGTGCTCCCTTTGCAGTAATGTTACATGGACGTGCAATGGGATTGTGAAGGGGGAGGATGGATGCGGGAGGAGCTGGGAGGGATGAGAATCTCTCCCCAGGCCAGGGCTGGAGCTGCTACTCCAGTGTTTCCTCTACAGCAGTGTTTCTCAATGACCAGTCCGTGGACCAGTGCCGGTCCTTGAGATCTTCCTGACACAGCTTAGGAAGGCAGCAAGCTGGTCCCTGGTATCAGAAAGGTTGAGAAATGCTGGTGTAGAGGCTGCTTCTTTCCCCACGGGTGAGATCCACACGGGCCAAGGGGCCAGCCCCCGTGCACCATCTAACAATAACAACACGTTATCAATGACTGGAGCTCTCCTGGTGCCTGAGCCTGCACGCGCTGCCTGTTTACATCACAACTTGTTGTTCTTCAAGCTGTCATTCGAACTGTCACTCATTAAAAACAGACGGCATCTCCACTAGTGATTTGTGTGTGCTGCCTTTTTTTTACCTGTTCAATGCATCAAGCTCGGCTTATTGTGTAATAAGAAAGGTGACGTCTTAAATTCTTTGGGTCAGATTCTGCTCTAGTTTACTGCAGTGTAAATCTGGAGGAGTTCTGTTGCAGTCAGTGGAGTTACTCTGGATTTACTCCGGTGACTCTGAAAGCAGAATCCAGCCCTTTTCATCCCACTTAGCGTCTGTGTTTCTTTGATGCATGATACGACAAATGTGTTACACCCCACTTGTTAGACACACATCTCCACATAGGATAAGGGGTGTTTTAAAGAGGATATTTGTTCTTCATGTCCACTAGAGGCAGGACAAGAAGTAATGGGCTTAATCTGCAGCAGGGAAGATTTAGGGTAGATATTTGGAAAAAGTTTCTAAAGGTTGCTCTACAGTTGGTAAGATATGCAACTTCAGCTATGGGAATAGCGTAGCTGAAGTTGACGTATCTTATTTCGACTTCCTCGATTCCTCACAGCGCGGGATCGACGGCCGCGGCTCCCCCGTCAACTCCGCTACCGCCGCTCGCCCTGGTGGAGTTCCGGAGTCGACAGGAGCGCGTTCGGGGATCGATATATCGTGTCTAGACGAGACGCAATATATCGATCCCTGATAGATCGATTATTACCCGCCAATTCGACGGGTAGTCTGGACGTACCGTAACTCTCAGGTTAGTTCAGCTCTGGAACTGGTTTCCAAGGG